AAGTTGGAAAAAAATTCGGGGGGATGTTTAAATCCCCCCAAAAGGGGGAAAGGACCGGCCTCGCCGCCGCCGCCTCGGGGATATCGAGCGGGGGGGGGAGGTATGGAGGAAACGGAGCTCTTCTCCCCCCCCGCGAGTATCGCGGGTCCCCCTCTTGTCTGATCTAAACCTCATGTCCTACATGACTTTGCTGTGATCTTGCATATACAGACAATCAGAAGGGTGGCTGAATAAAGCCTGCTCTCACTTCCCAAGGAGGTCTCTCATCCAAGTACTTGTCAGAGTTGACTCTGCTTAGCTTCCAAGATTTGACAAGATCAGACTTAGCCTGGGCTATCCAGGTCAGGGCTCTAGTTTGCCTTTTTCTTTATCCTATTATGTGAGAAAGGCAGAATTATGTTTTGAATACAGTTGTGGACATTTTCAGAATTTTCCACTGTGATGGACTGCACTTTAAAAGCTGGTTTCTGAGTGCAGCTAAATCAGAGAACAGGGAGATAAAGAGTTAACTTTTCCCTGGAATGGAGAGCTTGAGTGACAGGCTGCTCCTCTTCTCTGACTGGCCAGTGCCAGCTGAGGAAAATATATGATCAGCTGAGGGGGGAGTCAGTTTGATAGAACTGGTCTGAAAGCAGTTAGTTGGTTTCTGACAGTTTGGTGTGTGATAGGAAAAGTCAGATGAGTTCACCTACTGAGAAAGAAAAAGACTCCTTGCCTTAACTGTATTACATCTGTAACCTGAGGAGGAATTCAGTATAAGAATTATAAGTCTCAATGTCAGTATAAGCTGAAGTCTGTTTTACAGAGGCACCAGAATTGGGGGAGAGTTTTACCAAGAGTGATTGTGGTAGTGTGTGGAAACCCCCTTTCAAGACAGAAAAGGGTTGATTCTTCTAGTGTGAAGAAGATTAATTCCTGCCCAGTGTCAAAGAGCATTTAGCTCTGAGGAGGACCCTGCTCTGTTATAAAGGGAAAATAGTTTTAGAATCTTAGGAAATAAAGATAAAATGTAACTTTAACAAATGTCTGAGTTAGCTTCACAAAGACAGTGACCAATTCCAGGAAATCTGTTCCATTTGATCTCAGAGACTAGATATGGAAGAAACCTTCAGAACGTTCCAAACTGATACCTGACAATTCTATCATAGACACTTTGTTATCTTGTTGGGATAGCCATAGAACAGTGTTGCTTCCTCCCATCTCTAAATTTTAATCATTTCTCTATCAATATTGGTTTCTACCAGGATGTAGGAATCCTTCTTTTGACAACTGGAAACTGGCTCAGACTACTACACTCCAGGATCTTGGCTCTAAAGATCTGTTGCTCTCTAAGACTGATCTGGAAAAGAAAATAGGGTCATCTATTCCCTGGATGCAATATTTCCAGATATCGCATCTTAGCTCTTGTATTAACCTTCCACACATACTAAAGCAACCTCTAAGGGGTCTGGAGAAAATTATTCAAACCTCTCAACGCTTGGCAAAAGGCCTCATCTCAGCAATATACAGAATGATCTTAGACAGGGTGTAATGATTCCTTGTTTTACTATGTGTGTGTTCCTTTAAATGTTTGGTTGGAGTGCAGTGTTAGTAGAGTGATTGAGAGAGACGTGTGCTATGATTGGTGGATGACTGAGACTGTGAGAGGAGTTGTTCAGAGTGAATCTGTGTGTGTGTCTTGAAGTCAAAGTTTGAGAGTTATTCAGTTAGTGAGTGATATTCTGTGTGGAAACTTAAAAGAGATCAGTATATATGTCTTCAAAAAGTTTAAATGTGAAGGAGCTATGAGAAGGGTCTGTGAGACTCTAAAGTTATGATAAAGAGTCAATAATACAAAGTGCTTAGCCAGTGTGGCTTCCTATGTGAGAGATTCCTGTCACAGTGGGATCTTAATGTCAAAAGACTGTGTGTGATACCTTGCCAGTTTATTTACCAGTTCTTTTTCCCCAATACAGTTAGTTAGCCAGCAACTTATTTTTTGTTCCTTAATCAATAAATCATATTTTGTTTAAGTTTAACCGAGAATTTAGTTCAATCCTTCCTCAGGGCCACTTAGACTTCTGAAAAGCCTAGACCCTAGGTCACATTACCAGCAGCAGAAACAGAGAGAAGACTTGGAATTCCTTAAAATTCCTGGTGGCAGCAGAAACTACCCAGTTTATAAACACAGAGTATAATTTTAAAGTGAAAACAGCCCCCCCCAAATAAGCAGCACGCCACACAGGGATTCACAGAAATCCCTGATATATCAATCATTTTGGAATAAAGATTGTAGAAGAATTCTATCTGATGACACCTGGACCGATATATGGAACACTATTCCATTCCATTCCAAAATCACTGACGTACATCTGCAGTCTTTTAAATTAATCTCCTGCTGGTATCTCACTCCTAAACAATTAGCTCACTCATCACCAAAGAGTGATGAGTGCGGTCCACTATGCTGGAAAAAATGTGGAAACCTGGGAAATTACTTGTATTGTTGGATAACATGTCCTAAAGTTGTTACCTTCTGGGAATCTGTCATATCACTCATCTCATCTTTTACCAATATTGTCCTAACACTTACACTAGAGGATCTACTGTTAAATACATGGGGGGGGGGGCACAGTCCAATCATATTCATTCAAATAACAAGTCTCCTTGCTATTATATGCTGCTCGAACTACTATAGCACTAAATTGGAAATCTCTAAAATCTCCTAATCTCACACAATGGCATCAAAAGATATGGAATCTGTATGTCATGGCAAAAATTACAGACACTCTAACACAATAGAATCATGGTAGGGCTGCCAATTCCCCCCAGGGAGCGGAAAACCCCCCCGCCCCAGAGGCCCGTTCCCCGACGCCGGGGAATCGGGCCCCGGGGGGAACCCCGCCCCAGCGTGCACGTCACAGGGAAGTGACGTTATGACGCCGGGCACGCTGGGGGCGGGGCCACGGCCATACAAGGGAAAACTCTATCGCTGTTCTTCCTGTCCCTTTCTTGCAAAAAACACAATGGCAACATTGTTTCTTCTGGTGTCCATGTTTCTTCCGTCAGCCCGGTTTGTCTTATCCTCCATACCAGCATTCTGGATGCCTTGCTAGCAAGCAAAGCTCAGGTACCACTCAGCTTTTCCACTCCCCCTCTCCATGCATTACCATGTTGAAAGGCTGTGTGTGTATAAGGAAAATAAAGCAGTTGTGTGAATGTGTACAGGTGTCTGGCCTGCTTTTGCAAAAAAAGGCAGGAAAAGGGCTTGCATTTTTGCAACAAAAAAAAAAGGATACAAAGTGTTTTACATAATGAACATTTCTAGGGACTCCATCCATCAAGGCTCCTCCAAGTGGCTTCCACGGATACTGGTGAGGTGACTGCTGCAGTCAAAAGCATCCTTCCTTCCTCCCCTCAGCTGTCATTTTGCTTCTCATGATTGAGACTTGTCTGGCAGGCAGTGATGTGTATGTGCAGCCTGCGTATAATTTGAAGCCAACTTAATGGCATATCCTCTGTTCCAGGTGGGAGGCTGCCCTTTCACTCACTCTTTCTCTCTACCTGCCCTTTTTTGGAAGGCCCCCAATTTTTAAAGTATTAACATGTATAGATTCAAACCTCAAGAAATAAATATCATAGTATTCAAGGTACTTAGGATTGCAACTCCACCATCTGGTAGATAAGATTCATAATCCATTAAAAAATTCTTCCTGGCCTGTGCATACAGCCCGATACTCCTGAAAACCTTTGTGGATAGGGAAGCGAGGGGGTCTCTTCTCTTCTTTGCCATGGTCAAAATGAAAGCCCCCAGCTAATAACAACTAGAGTGGGGTGGATTTGATGGGAAAGGAATTAGGCCCCTAAAACTATGCTTCTCATATCTTTATTTATTAAAGGATTATATTGGAACTCTGCAATTGCTGTCCTGCTAAAAATTCTGTAAGAAGATGTCTGGGGAAAAAAGTGCTGTTACAAAGAAACAAAAAAATGTAGATGAGCACTGTATCTTTAATAACAAATGGACTACTGAGTACTTCTTTGTTTTAAACAAGGATAAGACAGTTTTCCTGATGTGTCTTAAAACTGTCTCAGCATTAAAGGAGTACAGAGTTAAAAGGCACTTTGAATCCTGTCACAAGAGCTACTCAATATATCAAGGAGAGATGCGAGTGAACAAAATAAAGTCTCTTAAAAAAATCAAAAGATTTGCAGTAAAATAGTTTTAGAAAGCACATTGAAGAGAAACTGTCTACTGTGAGGGCCAGTTATCATGTTGCTAAATGGTGAATTTGTTAAAAAGTGCATGGTTAGAGTAATGGAGGAAATGTGCCCTTAAAGTATCTTGTGTCATTTTATCCACATCTATAATCAGCAGCCATTTTGAAGAACTAGGAGAAGAGCTACATATGTCACAGGTTGTCAAGGCAAAAAGAGACGGGAGCTCACTCCGTTTTCTGGCACCTGGGGTCTCGAATTGCTGAACTACTGACTAGGGTTGCCAAATTCAGATCGTCCGGGAGCGGGGGGCTCCCGGACGATCCCGGGCACGTGCGCGCGCACCGCGTGCACGTCACCCGGAAGTGACGTCGCACGCTGGGGGCGGGGCCACGCGATTTGAGGGGAAAACAAAGAGTTTTCCCCTCAAATGGCTGCCATTTGAGGGGGAAACTCTTTGTTTTCCCCTCAAATCACGTGGCCCCGCCCCCAGCATGCGACGTCACTTCCGGGTGACGCGAACGTGGGGGTGGGGTTTCCCCTGGGCCCCGATTCCGGCACGCCGGTAATTGGAGGTCCGAAGCGGGGGAATCCCCGCCCCCCGGCTGCATTTCGCAGCCCTACTACTGACCTTCCACAGCCTGCAGTTCAGCGTCTTAACCACTTGAGCCACCGCAGCTCCATGGGTACCCAGCCACAAAATTAGTCTAAAGTCTTTAATAGTATTCACAAGAGGGTTGAAGTACAAACTCAAGGCCAGCATTTACATACTGATTCTAGTACAAAATTCATTTTATTTTAGCCCATGATATTACTAACTTCAAAAACAGTTCGCTTAGTTTTACAAGTCATATATTAACAGCATATTTTAAAAACACAGTATAGGCCATTGGCTGTGATAATCAAAGTATCTAATTAAAAAGTTAGCCATTAAACCCTATTTTCCCTAGCAGCAGCAAGTCACACAATCATTTATTCATAGTTTAAACTGCAAACAGTTCTCAAAAGTTTTCAAGTATGTTACACCCAGTACCTCAGTGAAATACTTCCATAGCTAAACACACACACATGTGAAACTCTTTCAGGTTTCGAGGTGAATTTTGGAGTCTAGGAGATCAGAACTTCAATAGAGGAGAATCCAGATTTTCTTTATTTCCTTCAGGACTGAGGTAAATAAGAGGAGAGCCCAGGTCTATTAGCTGGAAGCAGAACCAAAAAAAAAAAGTAAACATTGTTTTAGTTTATCTTTGTGCCTGCGGAATGCCATTTACTAATTAGTCTAGGGCAATGCTCTTGTAGACACTGCCACACACGGACAGAAAAGTCAAATGATTATCTTGTTATGGCTAATTGATGTCAGCCCTAGTTATGGTTACAGCTTCAGCTCTTGAAGGTCACACATGTGCTTAGAAAATCTTTGTAAGCAGTTAACCAAGAGTTATTATGAAGCCAACATAAACACACTCACACAATGTACATTAAAAAGAGGAAAATAAATGGAGATTTGCCTCACCTGTTCTGTCAGCTTCAGTGGAAGGGCTTTAATCATTTCAGGGGTGTTAAAGAAATCAATGAGAGGCTTATTTTCACAATCTGAGGGATCAACTGGTGCTGTGTCTATCCCAGTGTCTATCAATAAGCCCTAGAAAACAACAGAGTTTCAGATATTCATTCACTGAGCTTCCTGTAGTAACTCATTACAGTTGAAATGCCATCATGGACAAAATGACAGTCTCTAAAATACACTGTCCTGTTAGCCTAGATTTAGACTTCTTCATGCCACTCCCCCCTTGCACCTTCTTAAAACTACTACCCAAGCAAACTTTCATGACCACACCAACATGTAGGAGGCAGCCATTTATAACAGCAGTACACCTCCCCCAAAATCTGGACTTATTCTTTACAAATCTTAGTAGGCTGCAACTTTTCTGCACAGCACAAGCCCAAAAAGAGATAAGGGAAGAAAACTGCTTTAATAAAGGTATTTGACAAGGATGTTTTTCCATCGAAGCCTGCTTACCAAGAAAAGACACTGAAGGGCACCAGAGCAGTTTCCACCTGAAACCACTCTGAAGGAGAGGATGTTTCATACTTAATTTAGCAAACTGGCTTTCTAAGAGGATAACAAAACTGCAGCTTACCTCCTTAGCTTGTATTTCTTCAGCTAGTTTTTTATTTTCAGTTAAGCCCTGATTCCATGAAGGGGCCTTCTCTGGTGAAAAATCAAGTGCAACAGACACAGCTTGAGGGGGAAATGAGTCTCCTTCAGTGGAAGAAGTTGATGAGCTATCGGCTGTCTGCACACTGCTTTCTTTTGCCCTTTTAGAACTACACAGGAAGAGAGAAGTTTTGGAAGTTCTACACAGAATCTGGTCAAGTTCTGTACCAAAGTTCTGTACCAAATAGTAGCTCAAGCAATTCAACTTGTTTTGCAAAGAACAATAGCAGGTATTGCCAGTGGGTATGCCCAAACACAACAGAAGGTGATCCTAACTTTTGCTCATCTCAGCATAGGAAATTGAGATTTGACTCTGCATGTGCACACTCAGCCTTAGCTCTGTGGAACATGTACAAGACATAGAATTATGCATCACACACAGCATATAAAAGATCTGCAAATTGTGTTATATAATGTGTACAATGTACCCTGTTTAATAACAGGGCTCAGTAAAAGTCCTATTTAAAAGCTTATGCTCAACCAGCCACAAATTAAATATTGTAATTTAACAACAACAACTCACAAGCCACAGATTTAGTTCTAAAGTCACTAAAGAAATCTGCCTTCACATGCAAAAGCCTAACCCTAGATCAATGCAGGGCTCTTTTTGTAGAAAAACCCAGCAGGAACTCATTAGCATAATAGGCCACACCCGACAGCAAACCTATTAGCATATTAGGGCACACCCTGACAGCACCGCTCATTAGCACATTAGGCCACACCGCCATGTTACCAGAAGTGTGGTCATCCAGCCACACTCACCTTTACCTTCTTATTCTGTTTACCTTGTTTGTTGTCAAAACCCAGGGCTTTTTTTGTAGCAGGAACTCCTTTGCATGTTAGGCCACACACCCCTAATGTAGCCAATCCTAATGAGTTCCTGCTATTGGGTGTGGCCTATTATGCTAATGAGCTCCTGCTGGGTGTGGCCAACTCGGGAGCCAGCCGGAACTCCGTTCCTGCCCAAAAAGAGCCCTGATGGTCCCTAAACCTTTTGAGCCTCCAGGCACATTTGGAATTCTGACATGACACGGTGGGTGCAGCAACAAAATGGCTGCCACAGGAGGCAGAGCCAGCCACAAAATGACTGCCACACCTTAACCTCAGTAACACAATGTAGATCATTGTGCTGTGGTGGTAGCTGTTGCCAAAACAACATTTTAAAAAATCTGCGCAGGCAAGGCTCCACCCACTTGGCTCCACCCTGGCTCCACCCACTTCCTAAAAACACTTGGCAGGCACAGGGAAAGGTGTCGCAGGCACCATGCTGTTCATGGGCACCATGTTGGGGACCCTCGTCCCACATTATCCAGACCTCGGTTTAACTCCAAAGCAGCTCAACAACACTCCAAGGCTCCCACCAACACAGCATCCTATGATACTAGCTAGTGACTCTGAAAGGTAGGTCTTGTGAATGCTAAGATGGAGAGTGCAGGACTGAGAGGACAAGTAGAATCCATGACAACATACATGGCATAGCACTGATTGGATTTCACTAAGGCTAGACTTACCTAGCTGCTGTCGTTTTTTTGGATACAGCACTAGAGACTTGACGAACAGGTAGAAGGTTGGGTGACGACATTGATCTAGGTGCAGTTTTGGGTGTCCTTGCTGGAATTCCTGACATGCGACGGCCAACAGGTGTAGGCAATCCAGAACGTTTTATATTGGCTGGAGTTGGAATAGACCTTATGGAAGAACAGGAATTTAACACAGTCCGTTCTTCCAGTTGTTTGACAGGTGGGCTGGCTGCAACATTACTAGAAAGATATATGCAGTGTTTTTAGAAGCTTTAACAAAACCACAGCTGAAATATTCCTTCTTCATTTAAGAGCACATTCAGAATAAAATTTAAGGCAGCCCAACAGCTAGATACTAATAATTTTTCTGTACAGCAGCCTTACACTACTTTACTGATGTCTCAGTATTCTCTATTCCATCTGGCAGCAGCTCTCTAGAGATTCTCAGACAAGGTAAGTCCAGCAGTCCTGTGGTCAGGCTTTAAAACTCATTCCAGATATTTATGTGAGCTGTTTGTGGTCTGCTGAAGTGCTGCTGCCAAGCAAGTTGTCCAGTTTGTATCCCAAATTTAGAATGGCTGACAAAAATCCAAGCCAGTTATGAGGGATAAGAAGGTACCCTTTCCAGCTTAGAGTGCTGCACCATAGAACAGCCTACAAAGAAAAGTGATGCCACTGATTGCATCAAGTGCAAAAGTCCCCCAATTTTGAACTCCAAGTTCCACTCAGCATAGCATTCTTTAACAGGGGAAGCAGTTAACAGACCAATACGCTCAGCAGTAAATACAGTATCCCAAATTTCAGTTTGCCAGTGCACAAGACAGCTGAGTATATATACTTCTGTCCTAAGATGTGACCTACTAAGTCAGACCATCATCACCACCTAGAACACAGAATTTTGAAATATGCATATGCTGGGGAATAGGGGCAATCCTATTGGACTGCTGAGCTTAAAGAGACCCCTCAGCCCTGCTTAGCCGGGGCTACAAGTTCTCCAGACACTGCTCCAAGTCACTCCCCCCAAGGTTTCCGACAAATACTGCTAATGCCTGTACAGAATGGCCCAAAAGAAGGGCACAGACAGAGGCATGCAGGTGAAAACAAGTATTAAAAGAGATTAACCTTCCAACATTGCCACACGATAGGAATACAATTGGCTGTAATACTCTCACCGCTCCATTTTCTGATGACACACCTAAGAGGAAAGACATGATTCCCGAGGTTACCTTAAACTTCCCAAGTACATTCATTTCCTCATTTCAATCCTGATCCATCATAAAGTGCTGAGTAAAAAAAATCCCCCAAGGTATTCTAATGAAACTGGTGTAGTTGAAACCCTTGGATCAGGTTAGGTGCAATGTTTTCACAAAGTAAATGTTTTGTGTGTTTTTTATTTCTATGTTTTTAATGTGGAGTTTTATATGTATGTTGCAGTGATTTAAAGGGCAGGGCTGTACATTAAGAGAGAGGCTGGATGGGTGAATGAAATACATTATGATTGGATGGTAGCTGTACCCTAGGAGGTGGAGTTGACTGATTTGTTCTGAGAGGCTTTGTGTAAGAGAGTTCATGGGGAGTGTGTGGAGAAAAGAGACTGATTGAGATGCTGTGTAGAGTGTGAGAGAAATCTGTGTTTTGTGCAGAAGTCAGGAGCCTAAGTGTAAGTGAGAAAATAAACCTTTGTGGCTAGGTCTGTTTAAGGAACTTTAGAGAAACAAGAACTGATACCATTATACTTATTAACCACACAGAAACTGTTAGGCTCTTCTACTTCTAAATAAACTCTCTTTATGTTTAAGTGAAAACAGCTGTTGTATTTAGGTTAAAGGTCCCCTTTTACCTCAGAGCCACCCCACACACATTGACTGTTCTGTTATTCTACCAAGCCATCTCCTAAGCCCTCCTTTAGATCCAACTAAGAATTCTAAGGTGGCAATGAAAATAAGTCGGGAATGCTAAGGAAGGCAAGGAGCCAGCATAATATATGTCACCTCAGAACACTACAGAGAGGTGCCTTTACAGAGATTACATATAAGAGGGCTCACAGAAAAGAGTGAAAACATTACATTACATTATTTATTTAATTATTTATCTCATTTATACCCCGCCCTCCCTGCAATGCAGGCTCAGGGCGGCTCACAATCAGTACATAAATACAATTAAAACAACATAATCACCTAAAAACAATTTCATTATAGCTAATACAGTTCCATTATAGCTAATACAATTAATAAATTAATGCAAGAGTGCTAATGTTTTAAGCATGTTTTTATTTTAAGTTAAAAAAACACCTTCGTGTTTGTGTCCTTTATAAAGTTTATATCTCCGCTACCTGGCATTACATTTTATGACACAAATGGCGTGGCCCAACAAGGTCTTACCTTCCTTTGTGAAGGGTACCATTTTATTTTCAGAACAGGAACTGCCTTTTCTTTCTAGCATTATGCTTTTCTGTGATGATTTTTGCAGTCTAGGATCCAAACTCATACCTCGAATCCCAGTGCCTGAAGTCTTGGATTCAAAAGCAGCTTTATATTTGGCCGCATTCATGGAAGGGTTTCCTTTCATAGCACAGGTTGATCTCTCCTGCTTCCCAGATGCATCTGAATGGGAAGCCTGCACAGATGACACCCTCATAGGTCTAACCATAGCTACCTTGGTTGTACCAGAGATCTCAGAGCCACATGTCGAAGTTTTCGCAACAATATTTGTTTTAACTAGAAGATAAAATTGTAAGTATGACCTGTCACTTAACATTAACATAGAATCAATAAACACAGCATTTTTAAAACACCATGGAAGAGCCAGGTCCCAACTGTGAAACTTGCAATCTGGATTTCAGTAATGGAAGACAGAAAAGAAAGAGCCATTGGTAGAAGGAACAGTTTCATTTGATGTCTCAGAATGCCTAAACATTCCAGAATCAAGCACCTGATGCATTTTGGCTGCTATCATCTTGCATGTCAGTAAGGTAGCATTTTGTGCTTGGATTCATGGTCTTGTCCAAAGCATTCATACCCAGAGCCAACAAAAAGGTTCAGTGTTCTCAAGAGCAAGTATGCCATTAGCTAAAGCAAGAAAAGCATAGCATTACCAAAGACAAACACATTTCTAGGTTCAATTCCATCACAACTGATGGGAGGATTTCTCAGATATGAATCCTAAGATCTCTAGAGCCATGGTTCCTTTGATGTCATCTGCATCATCCAAAACCTACAGAAATTATTGCCTGCTGGGGGGCGAGGGCATGGTTACAAATATGTTTTGTACAGAGCTCTTCCCAAACCTGATCTCCCTATAAACACATACATTTTTCTGATCCTCTGTGCTAAACACACCTACATCTGGGTCAAAGATGTTCAATGAGCACTCCTTGGCAAAGTTTGAGCTTAAACCCATTGAAATCCAGGGGCTTAGACTAGTGGAACTCTACAGAAAATTGCACTTTAAGAACTTTGTTACAAATATGTGAGCTCCTTATTTGTAACAAAACAAGAGGAGACAACACTTGATAAACCCAGTGAGGATCATGCCCAGAAAAACAAGCAAACAAACATTTAACACCAGAGCTGGGAAATTTACAGAGTAAGAGCTTAAGACCATCTCCCTTCTATACCTTCTGCCTTATAGATGACAGGTTAACACATACATGCCAGCTGATTTGACTTCTCGTCAATGTGGTTAGAGGTTGGACTAGGATCTGGGACATCCAGGTGCAAATCCCCACTCAACTATGGAAGCTTGCTGTGGGACCTTGGGCCAGTCACACACCTCCAGCCTAAACAAGCTCACAGGGCTGTTGTGAGGACAACACAGAGGAGAAGATCACACTTTAGGCTGCTTTGGGTCTGCCTTGGAGAGAAAGGCAAGAGTACAAATGAAGTAAATAAATGCTGGTGCATGACCACTACTAAGTTTGTATTGCTTACCTTTTCCTCTTTTAGGGGAGACGGACAGACTTGAATTCAAGCTGGAGTTCATACTGGAAAGTGAGGATGATGATGAAGATAAAGTGTTCCTCTGCATTTGAACATCATTAGGTGGCTTCAGTTGTGTTGCCTTTATACTTTGCTATGAAAACGTTAAGAGACCTTAAATTTAACAGACTTCAAACATACTTGGAAATAAACCCTTTTGTGTCCAAGTAAGTATGCACATGATTGTATCTTCACTGTAGCACTGTCCTACTAGAATAAAAAAGCAACCCCCCCCAAAAAAAATGACCAGGTGCTCCCCACTGATGTTCTATAGACCCAAAACAACATACTCTGCAACTTGCTGCTTTCGTAACATTTAGAACCAGCATTTTCTGCAGATGCACAACTGTCAAGAAGCCTTACAACTCCTTTTGCAAGAAAACATAGGTCTCGTAATGACATCTGGAGATATTTCTTCCATTAATATATATATATGCAGACCTATATGTTGGAACCCACCCTGAGCCTACAATGTAGTCAGTGAGGCATCCAGGAACACCCCCAGGCTCCTCACCCTAGACGCTGGCACCAACAGGGCTCGTATCCCCCCGCCCCACATTGTAGGCTCAGGGTGGGTTCCAACATATAGGTCTGCAATTTGCACAGATTTACATTTAAAATCTGTAAAACCAATAAAATCATCACATACTAAAACAACAACACCTCAACAGAAAAACACTGTGGTTCCAGTCCAGCGTCATGGATCTGTGGTCACTGGAGGAGAGGCCAATCAAGTGGGTGCCCACTGCCTCAACTAAAGGCCCGGTGGAAGAGCTCTACCTTGCAGGCACTGGGAAACTGTAGCAGGTCCCACAGGGGCTTGATCTCATAAGGTAGCTCATTCCACCAGGCAGGGGCCAGGGCCGAAAAGGCGCTGGACCTAGTTGAGGCAAGTCGCACATCCCTAGGGCCAGGGACAGTCAGGAGATGTTGTTTTTTAGAACGCAATGTTCTCTGGAGCTCATATGGGAAGAGGCAGTCTCGAAGATATATAGGCTCCTGGCCATATAGGGCTTTAAAGACAGGCACCAACACTTTGAAACGGATCCAGTATTTGATAGGCAGCCAATGCAGATCACACAGCACTGGGCGGATGTGTGCCCACACAGGCAACACCATCAACACCCACGCCGCTGCGTTCTGCACTAGCTGCAGCTTCCAGAGCAGAGTCAAGGGAAGCCCCATGTAGGAAGAGTTACAATAGTCTAGTCTGGAAGTGACCATTGCATGGGTCACTGCAGCCAGATCACGGGGGGTGAGATATGGGGCCAACTGCTGGATCTGCCTCAGATGAGAGAAGGCAGACTTGGCAGTGATGGTGACCTGGGCCTTCATAGTCAGTGAGGCATCCAGAAACACCCCCAGGCTCCTCACCCTAGACGCTGGCACCAACAGGGCCCCATCAAAGGTTGGGAGCCTAATACCTAATCCCAGTCTACCATGAGCCAGGCGAAGGACCTCCGTCTTCAATGGGTTCAATTTCAGTCTGCTCTGTTGTAACCATCCAGCCTCAGCTTGTAACGCCCTGTCTAGATGTTCAGGGGCAGAGTCAGAGACTATTATTTATAGTCCACCTTTCTCACTTGGACTCAAGGCAGATTACACAGAGCAAGTCAATACAATCAACAGAATGTTCAATGAACAATGCAATAGAAATTAGGGTTGTAGAACCAATGAGAAGTCTAAAAACCGAACTGAAGCAAAACACATTAAATGATTCAAAATGATGTGAACATTACATAGTAGGATCCTAGTTTCAGCAAGCTATACACAGTAGTATAGACCACAGTTCCTAATCATTTATCCAAGTAACTTTGTGAAACATTTAGTATAGTGTGACTCTATTGCCTGCGTAGAAAAGCCCTCTTGAATAATGCAGTTTTGCATAGCTTGTGGAAAGCCAAGAGAAGCCTTCCTGACCTCCTCAGGCAGAACATTCCACAAGGTGAGGGCCACACTGGAGAAAGCATGTGTATGGGCAGTTGCTGATTTTGCCCATTTGCAGGTTAACACCTGCAAAAGACCCTGCTCTCATAAGACAAGCTGTTGTGACGGAATGTAGGGGGAGAGGTAGACTCACCAATATGAGGGTCCAAGGCTATGAAGGGCTTTGTATGTGACAGTTAAATTTTAATAAACACTTCAATATGAATTTTATTTTTGATTTCCCTGGATAATTCTCTCAGTTTGCACACAATTGCCTTTATTTCCCCCAGGCAATATATTTTCTGGTTACATATACTGAGCCCTCCCCACCAAAGTAAATCTAAAAGCAGCATTGTTGATCACTGGGGGAGGAGGGGTACGTGCAGCCACTTCCTCCATGCAGTCTCACTCTGCAAACGACCTTGCCACTACAGAGGCAGGGAGTGGGGCCAATGCAACCATGCTTGCTCTCCCTTGCTGTGAGGTGAGTCAACATACCTGGGTTTGGGCCACACCAGGCTCTAATATCACAGGTATAAAACAATAAGGAAAGTGAAAGATGGACATGTCACTATAGATCACAATAGAGACAGGTGTTGCACCTTCATTAAGGGCAACCAGTCACCTTGCCAGGAGTAAGAAGACGTCTCTTGTCTTGTACCAGTGAAGAGTCTTTGGCATCTGGAACGATACTTGATTTGCCACAGAGCAGGTCTTCAAGTGATCCCATGCTTTTCACGTGTTTCCTGCTGGAAGGGTGATGTGGGCTGTCTTGTTCCGACTGCAAGATTGAAAAATCAATTAGAGGCCATAACCTGAAAAACTGTATGTCTGCATATTAACTTAACTGTTCCAATTATCTACTCACAGCCCATTTCAAAAAACTCTCTAACTTGGGATCAAATGATCACCTACTGGAAGTCCACAAAAACTGTGACAAAGCAGACATTTAGTATTATCAGACCAGTTGGTATGCACACTCAAGACAACCCAAAAAAAAAAAAAAATACAGGCAAAATCACCCAATGTACATGCAGGCCAGCCCAAAGAAAATATTATTTGAGATAATACTAAGTTTTAATGCAAATAATCACCTCATGGAGCTGTTGATCGGATATTGGAGCATATCGCTGGGAATCTGCTGCTGAGAAGCAATAAGTCCTAGGGCTATAGACATGTACATGGCCCAGGAGAGAAGGGTGATATAAAAAAATACTAGACAGGAAAGATCTTTACCTGTTCCACTGCTAAGGAGTTGTTTCCAAACACATATGAAGTTTTTACGGTCTGCAGCTTGCTTGACTTTTTATTATTTTTGTCAACACAACATGGTGCTACCTGTCCGATGAATGATTTAGGAAATTTGTCTTTTCTAGGACTAGAGACTTTCTGAGACATTAGTGGAGAACGCAAGTTGTCCATCACTTGTACCAGTTGCTTTGAATGCTTCTGAAAGGAAGGTGGAAGCTGAGACACTGGGCTTTCCCACACACAATACGTCTCTCTCTTTATAGTCCTGGGTGTTCTCTCTGTCTTAATGCCTGTCTCAAACATTTTCAGTTTGGACTTGGATTCTTGCACAAATTTTTCCACAGACTCATGTCTCTGACCTCCCACCTGGTTAGCATGGGGTCTTTTAGTTTTGCTCCCACTTTGGAGCTGAAGAGCCACCAGGTGAGCTTCTTTAACAATCTCTGCAAACTTCTCCTCAGCAAGTGGGCTCCACAACGGGTTCTCTGCAGGCAATGGTGAGACGCTCCCTTCAGCCCTATCACAGGCCTCAACAGATACGGCAATGCATTTCTCTTTATGGCCCATGGGTCCAATAAATACTTCATCCTCATTTTCACTAAAATAGACAACATCAGTCAAATGCCTGGTAAAGCCTACCCTCTAAGTACCAAAAAGTACAGTGTGTTCTTTGTTTACCTCGAAGGAGACAGTGAAAGGTCAAAATCAAGTTTTTCATCAGAGAGACAGGGAATGTCTGAAATTACAATGGTACATCATTTATAGGTATGAATGACATTTTCTCCCGTTCAAATGCTAACGTATTACTTTTAGTCATACTGAAACCTACACCTTCTACTGATGTTCCAACTGCCAAACAGAGTGCAGAATCTACACATTCATCCTCTCCCCACTCCCAAGGCAGGTAACTGGCTCTGTCAAAGTCAACAGTACTAGACATCTACGTAGCAAAGTCCTATGGACAGGTCAGTGCAAGCAGCGCAAAGGGAGCAAATCCAGAGGACCATCAAATCAGGGTCTTAGGGGTAATTCTATATTTAATTGAATCCAAATCATTGGCACTTAACAACCAGGATCAGCTCAGTACCTACCATTAATGTCAAAGGTGAGATATTCACTGGAGTGGTTCAACTTCAGTTACCTTTGCTTAGGAAAAAACTGCCATACCAAAGGTACTATTTGGTGATGGAGGTTAAAGGCAGTAGAAATTGTTAAAAGGGGATGGGACAGGTTCATAGGAGAGAGGCCCCCTGATGGCTACTAGCCAAAGGAATCTCCATGTCCAGAGGCAGTCTACTTCTAAATAGTAGTGCTAGGAGGCAATTTAAGGGTAGGCCTTGGCCTGTATGCCTTGTTTACTGGCAGCTGGTTGATCACAGAATGGAAAAGAATGCTGGACTAGATGAACCATTGGTCTGATTCATCAGGGCACCTGTTATTTTCTTATCAAGAACATCCCTTATTCAGACAGGTTTTGTGGATGTAATAGAAGAGAAATAGAAACTGTTGAGCATGTACTCTTACATTGTAAATTGTTAAATGACATTCGAGTGGAATTTATAGAAGCCCCCCTTAGGTTGGTAGCAGGCCAGCCGGATAGAATCAAGGTACATTATCTCCTTGCTTCACGAGATCCGGAAATCATTGAACTGACCACTAAGTTTCTCCATGGTTTTATAAAATGGAAGAATGACCCTGATCACATTAATGAGTCTTAATTTATAAATTTAAAAACTCAATTTTAAATTATTTATTTATTTATTTATTTACCTTAGACTTGATATCCCGCCCTAACCCCCGAAGGGGTCTCTGGGCGGCTCACAATTTGTCGTCCTAATGACTTGATTATTCCTATCTTGGGCCACATTGGAGGGGGGGTGGGACAAACCTACCAGCACCCACTTTTCTGGCGGAATATGCCTAATGTCTATTGGATTGTATTAATATTGGGAATTGCTTCTAATATTGTATGCTAATAAAAGGTATTTGACTTTGACTATTTTCTTATCAAACTGAAAATTAAAGAATACAGAAGAAACACATTGATTACAGGGTCAATACCTACAGCATGCGATCCAGCTTATTTGCCCAAGTGACTTCAGGCACCCTTTCAGACAGTGAAAAGGATGATCAAGGCAAGAAGGGATGAGAAGTCCCCCATCTGACCTCAAAACTGGGTTATCTGGCTTTCTAGTTCCTCCTAAAAACTAACTAGCCACCAGTTCCTTGTGCACTGAAGATTTTCTACTACTTAACGGAATCCAAATTAACATCATGCTGACCCCACTACAGTATCTATAAAGTAACTAGAATGACAATATTGTAATAGTCAGTATTTTACCACCTACCATTATTGATGCACTCATCAGGTTTAATTTCTGTCATTATACATTCTGAATCAATGCCCAGTTTTCCTTCTTCCATGGTACAACTACAAAGAGAGTTTCCACACAGCAAAAACCAAAGCAAGCATCAGGTTACAATACTGGTTCCAAAAAGCTGCTCCCATTGCTCTTACAATGCTTTCATGGGCAGCCCAAGCTATAAAGAAATACTTTATTCCCAAAATAGGGGTTACTTCAGAAATTAAAGGGCAATTCTGCATACATTGTGCATTTGAAGCTCAGGGCAACCAGGCAGTGTGGGAAGAATCACACACCTGTTCAATATGGCATCATACACCTTAACCATTCCTCTCTACTTGCAGCAAGTATAACCTGAATTTAAGCAGTTCCCCTGAATTGGGAAAGTGTACTGCTGGTGACCCTCCCTTTGGAAAAGAATCAGATCACATAAGCCCTGATTTACTATAATTCTATGGCATAGTATTTTGCCATTCTAATGAATTTATTTATTTACTTCACTTATTCCCCACTCTTCTCCCCAATGGAGACCCAAAGTGGTTTACAACATTCTCCCCTTTCCTATTTAAACAACACAACAACCCTGTGAGGTAGGTTATTCAACTATTACGAGAATGTTTATGCTGTGTCTTAAGGTAAACTACACTAGGTGGCTTGCAAAATAAAATAATTAGGCTGAGTGTGTGTGACTGGCAAAAGATCACCCAGCAAGCTTCCCCAGCAGAGCAGAGATTCAACCCTGGGTCTCCCAGATCCCTATCTTGACACTCTTAACTACTACACCATACTGGCTCCATTCGTGGATCTATTATGAATTATGAGAAGTGGGAACCACAGTCTCACAATCATAACAGAATTTATGTTTGGATCATTCTATTTCAAAATATTGCAGAAAACTCTGGGAAGCCATCTTCTTCCTCTAACAAGGAAGACTCATTCCTTGATACAGTAGAAAAGAGCAAGAGTCCAGTAGCACCTTAAAGACTAACAAAATTTGTGGCAGGGATCAAGTGAGCAGCGATTCACAAAAGCTCATACCCTGCCACAAATTCTGTTCGTCTTTAAGGTGCTACTGGACTCTTGCTCTTTTCTACTGCTACAGACAAACTAACATGGCTACCCATCTTGATCTCATTCTTTGATAGCCACTGAAACTGGAAGGCATGAAATATCCAATAATCTGTTGCATCTATGTGCAAACAAGCATCTTCACATTTCAAAGAGAATTCAGACAACCTGATGTAATTTGCATTGTTTTGTTCATCGGAGACCTTTGGTACTTGACCAAGTTGTTTTTATCATATTTTGCAATCCACCTTGAGTCTCAGCGAGTTTAAGTTAACAACAACAACAACAACTACAACAACTACTACTACTACTACTACTACTAATAATAATAATAATAATAATTTCCTTCTAAAATAGTGCTCCACCTTCGACTTCCTCATGAAAATAAGTGGCTTTCCTACTTCTGAGCAGCACCTGGATTTGGGAAAACAAAGGAAGTCGCTCCCGCTCCACTAAAGCAGTCTATTTTCCAAGAGGGGGTCCACATGGTACCAATGACAAAGATTCCTTAGAAGCAGGCTTCTTTATCTTTCCTGGGTGAAATTTCTGCCTGCCACAGCCTATTCTCACATATCTGGGATTAGGAAGTAGAACCTGCCAAATCAGGATACTGATCAAACAAAACACCACACCCACGCCCCGCGCTCTTAAAGCATAAATATTACCAGCTCAGTTACCTTTACTGGGGAGGGTTGTTTTATTATGTCGTAAGCTGCCTGGTGCAATTTCTGGACAAACGGCATATAAAACGTCTAAATCAGTTAACACACTGATTCAAAGATTCTCAACAATGCACATACCTGAGCAGGGTCGCCTGAACCGGCCGTTCAAAAAACGTGCCACTCCTTCGATGAGGAGCGTCGCCCACCCCCCCGGCGCGCCGCTACTGGCAAACTAAACCTCGGACGCAACCCCGTACTGCCCTCCTGGCACCTCTTTCTGCCACCGCAGTCCTACCAGGCCAGCCGACTAGTCACCCTGAAAAAGCGAATAGGGCTTTTGATAACGCCTGCCGCTGTCAAATTTGAAATGGCAGCTCCGCCTACCTCCCTTATGCAGAGCCTTCTTATTGGTGAATTCAAACACCGCTCACGACCTGGAACCAATTCTGTTTGCAGGGGGGGTTAAAAAGAGCACTTCCACCCTGGAATCTTCCGCTCACTGCATTGTGGGACATGTAGTTTTCAGAGGAACGCCATCGCGTCTCCTTTGGGAAAAGTGTACTACTCTGTGGTCCGCAGAGAAATCCCAAGAGAGGGTCTTGTTGATAGCCCATCAGCACCGTCACAGCGCCCCCTGAAGTGGAACAACGGCCAGTGTGCTCTACCCGTTTGTCTCAATCGCCCTCCCACCCAAAAACTCTGGAAGGGAGATTTAAAATCAGAGGTAGTGAGTGACTACTAGCCGAAGTTCACCAAGGGAACCTCATGCTAATTAACGATTTAAATATGGGTCTCCTGCCCACCACCATCTTATTTATCTGCTAGTGCAGACTAGTCCTTAACCAACAGCATACAATCCAGAACTGTAGGACCGCCCAAGACCTCAGCTAGTGCTGCTCTCTCATGATAAAGTGAGAATTCAGTTCAAGTGAGTTGGCCCTGAGTTGCTAAGGTAATTTGCCCCTAGGACAGCGGCTTTGGCCATAACTTTTTAAAGAGCCCTTAAGGAGGACTGGGGGAGCCGGAATGACTCCCGAGAGTTGGAATTTGCGCCAAGAAGTCCAAGGCCACCACC